CAGTGTGTCAAAAACTTAGCCAGGCGTGGTGGTGCACGCCTGTAGTTCCGGCTCCTTGGAAGGCTGAGGCGGAAGGATGGCCAGAGCCCAGCAGGTGAAGGCTGCAGTGGCCAAGACTGCCACCGCCCTTCAGCCTGGGCGATGGAGTGAGACTCCAACTCAAAAAAAGAAAATATAGTTTATTTAGAAAGTAAATTAAAGAGAGAGAAAGAGGAGATCCACCTGCCCAAGGTAGGGGAGGGTGGCCACAGCTCCAAAACCGCATGGCCACATCGGTGCCTAGCAAGGCAATGGCCTCATTTTATTATTATTATTATTTATCGTAGAGACAAAGTCTCGCCAACTGACTCCGGTGGTCTTGAATCCCTGAATCGGGCAATCCTCTCGCCTCGGCCTCCCAGAGGGCTGGAACTACAGGCGTGAGCCACCACGTCCGCCTGTAAACTAATTGTGGAATTGACAGCCTTACGCTGTCTGCCACCTAAGACTGTGTGTTGCTCCACCGGTCCAAATATCGCTTTGAATCCCCCAATAAGACTACCATTATGTCTTTTGGGGTCGCTTAATTCTATCCAAGGAAAACAGGAAGTATGTTTTTACCTGCGGCGTCAACGGATCCGGCTTCCGGCGCACGCCAGCCTCCGCCCCTGCTCCCGCCCCAAGGTTCCGGGTTACCATGGGAACAAAGACTGACGTCACTCAGGGCTTCCGCGCAGGACTCGAGGGTCGGCGGAGAAGCCGGGAGCGAGGGGCCGGGAGGCGGCTTTTTGCCGTCTACGCATGCGCAGCGCCGGTCCCACGCCTCCCCCGCCACCAATCTCGTTCCGGCCGGGCATCTTCCGCTGCAGCTCCTAGCTTAATCCCGGCGAAAGGCTCCCCGGAGGCGGGGAGCCGAGAAGGGCTCGAAAAGCGCCAGCCAATCCCGCGACATTACGCCGCCACCGAGATGATTGACGCCGCCTGCGGCCGCCAATGAGGCGGCCCCGCGTCACAGAGTCCGCCCCGCCCCGGCCCCCTCCTCTCCGGACGCCGCGCTCAGTCCGCGCAGTAACCCGCGGAGCGCGCGCGGCGACGCCTCCCGGCCCGTTGGGCTCCGCTGCCATTTCCTCGCCGGGCCTAACGGTCCGGCCCATCCCGGCGCGCACGAGGGGCACGCGGGCTCCGCCAATCGGAGGCCGCCGGCCGCGACCCTCACCCGGGCGCGGCCCAATCGCGCCCGGCCCCGCCGCCCGG